TTTTACTACCGGTTCTGTGGGCATGGCTTGGTGGGCGTAGTGTGGCTTGGTGGGCGTGGCAGGGGAAGGATATTGCAAAATCTCCATTCCCACCCCACTCCAGGGGAAGGATACTGCAAAATCCCCATTCCCTCCCCACTCCAGGGGAAGGATATTGCAAAATCTCCATTCCTTCCCCACTCCTGGGGCCAGCCAGAGGTGGTATTTGCCGGCTCATAATTTCCGCTACCGGTTCTCCAGAACCTTTCAGAACCTGCTGGATTTCACCCCTGCCTCTTACAAGCACAAGCATTCCAAATTCCACCCACAAGAATTAATTTCCTTGTAAATAAAGTTCAAAAAACAAATTGTCTTTCATCAAACTGAATGAGAATTGGTAGGGGAAAAACACAGAAACGTTTATCTGCCTAACACTAAAAAAAAAAAAAAAAAAAAGGAGAAGGGAATTATCTAGAATGTTGTATTTCTTTCCAAACAGAAATTGAAACTGCGCATTTTCTAAGCCTGTAAATTTCCCTATTTTTCCTAATTCAGGGGAAAAAACGGTAACTTTCACTTCCATCTGAAGTAACCAAGGCAAGAATAAATAAATATTCTGTTTCTCCAAATCATGATGTTGCAGAATAAAAATATAACCCAGCTGCAAAACTGCAATCATAGATATTTTCACGGATGGAGGAAAACCCTGAACAATCCCATACTAATCTGTGGAGAACACGAACAAATAAGAGTACGAACAACGGGGAACTAGCTGAAACAAGAAGAAATGCCTCCTGAATTCCTGGATTACAGTGTACTAGTGAAATGTGCCATTTCTACACATCCATGCAACATTTCAACACACACATTTATGCCCGATTCTGCCATAATTCATGACTTGAGTCTTTCAAGAAAAGATTGGACTGCCATTGTCAGAAATGGTGAAGGGTTTCCTCCTTGGCCGGGGGGTTGGACTAGATGACCTACAAGGTCCCTTCCAACTCTGTTCATCTGTAATCTGTAATCATAGATAGATACCATCACTACAATTAGATTTAAACCACCCAATAAAAAAGCAAGCTGCAATTGCAAAGGAACTTCCTAAAGAGAAGGCTGCGTTCACACATCATGCTAAACCACGTCTTATTTTACCATAGTTGATTGACTGAACCACAGGAGGTAGGATTCATGCAACACGCTAATCCAAACTAAACAAAGAGCATTACAGTTTAGCACAAACGAGCATGGACTACATACATCCATCTCTTGATTTATCCCCTTTTCATTTCAAATTAATCCCAAGACCTCAGACTATTTAAATTCCATCTGCAATGGGAATTACTTCTGAGCGAGTATCTAGGAATGTGCTATTTTGCGTATCCAAATCCCTTGGTTTTAATAGGCATTAGCTCACTTAGAGGGATGCGGTGGCTCAGTGTCTAAGACGCTGAGCTTGTCGATCGAAAGGTCGGCAGTTTGGCGGTTCGAATCCCTAGTGCCGCGTAACGGGGTGAGCTCCCGTTCTTTGTCCCAGCTTCTGCCAACCTAGCCGAACTGTTTGTTAACTTTCTAAGCAGTTTGGAGAAACGGTTGTTGGAAGAAATTTTATTTTGGTTTTTTTGCACTTTACAGGGCTAATCCTGTAAGGAAGGCAGGAAGGAAACATTCTGGTGGTGTTTCTAGCCTAATCTTTATTGCCCTGCTTACAGAAACTGCCTCTCCGGTTAGCCCTTATTACATTGTAACAGCTAAGGCGAAGCGCCCATCAACCTGAGTGACGTTGAATTGGCCATGCCCACACGGTCACATGACCACCGAGCCATGCCTACCCAGCTGGTCATTAGGGTAGAGAACCGGTCGTTAAATTATTTGAATCCCACCACTGCTACAATGGTTGTGGCTCATTTCACGGCACAATTTTATGTCTAATTCAGAAGTAAATGTGACTTCAGATAAATCTAGGGACTACTGTACAGTCTGAGATTCTTGCAGACAAGGGGGCATGGCTGGGTTGCAAACACTTTCTAGCCAAAAATGACATCAATAAGCACTGCCTTATTTAGTATTTTTTTTAATGTCTTAAGTCTAATAAAAGTTTATTTCAAATTACTAGAAGCCAATTCATGTTATCCTTTATCGTCTACTTGCATATTTTGTTTGTTGGCCACTTATAAGTGAACCAAGTCTAATAAATTTATTAGAACAAATTGTAAAAAAAATGTGAAAGAACTTGGTCATCTCATGAGTGGATCTACTGGATGTCCTTTTATTAAAGATGCCAAGAAAGGAACTCTTCCTTTGCAAATGAGAATTCTTTTGCTCTTGATTGCAAAGGGGTCTTTTTTTTTCAGGAAAAACATGCTAGCGAACAGCAAAGCATCTTCCACTACAACAGATATCAAAGGTGTTTGTGGGCTTTGCGAAAGCATGACAAATTCTGATATCCACCCTTTAAAGACAACAAGATGCATTTCTTGAACAGAGGAAGTCACTCCATATGCTCCAGATTATCACTTGAAAGGATGGGAGCATTCTCTGGTCGAGAAAGGCTCAGGCAGGTATGGTTCATTATTATTCATGACATATTGCCTGCGCTACCTCTGAGGACATCAAGGTAACACAAATCCTTTCCCATTTTAGCACTCTTAACGCCTTGACGTTTTGCTAAGGTAAGCTGCATCCCTGAACAGAACATTACTATTACAAATTTCCCTTTATTAACATCATACCGCCTTTAAAGCGCTCCATGGCTTAGGGCCTGGGTACTTACGGGACCGCCTTCTGCCACCGATAGCCTCCCACCAACCAGTACGTGCCCACAGAGAGGGTCTCCTCAGGGTGCTATCGGCCAAGTTATGTCGGCTGGCGACACCCAGGGGGAGGGCCTTCTCTGTGGGAGCCCCAGCCCTGTGGAATGAACTGCCCCCGGAAATACGTAAGATCTCCGACCTCCGGGTGTTTCGCTGCGCACTGAAGACCCTGTTGTTCCGCCAGGCCGGGCTATCAACATAATAATTTTAAATTGGGGTATTTTAAATTTCTGGGGTTTTAAATTGAGCCAAATCTATTTAATCATTTTAAATTTTTAATCGTTGTTTTGTCCTGTGTTTTTAAATAGGCTGTACACCGCCCTGAGTCCTTTGGGAGGAGGGCGGTATAGAAATAAAATTATTATTATTATTATTATTATTATTATTATTATTATTATTATTATTATTATTATTAAAACTTTTTTATTTCATCAAGCTGGGCCGGCGTAATCCCCCCTTAGATGTTTTTGAATATTTTTAACTATAAATTGATTTTAGTTGGGGTGTTTTAAATTTATTGGGCCAAAATTTGTTTAATTCTTTTAAAAATTTTAAATTTTGTATGTGATGTTTTTATTCTTGGCTGTTCACTGCCCTGAGTCGAGCAGGAGAAGGGCGGTATAAAAATTTAATAAAATAAAAAAATAATAAAATAAATATGAACTACCCTTATACGGGTAGTTCTCGGCTTACAACAGTGCACTTAATTGACTGTTCCAAGTTACAACGGCACTGAAAAAATGACCATTTTTTCCACACTTTCAACCACTGTAGCATCCCGTGTCACATGATCAGCATTCCGATGCTTGGCAACTGATTCAGATTTATGACGGTGGCAGTGTCTTGGGGGGGGGTCACTTTTGTAACCTTCTGACAAGCAAAGTCAAATGGGGAAGCCAGATTCACTCAACAACTGTGTTACTAACTTAACAACGGCAGTGATTCACTTAATAACAGTGGCAAAAGAAGGTCGTAAAATGGGGCAAAACTCAAAATGTCTCAGTAACAGAAATTTTGGGCTCAATTGTGGTCGTTAAGTCAAGGATTACCTGTACTATGGTCACTGGGTCTTGACCCAGGGGTGAAATGCTCCCGGTTCGGACCAGATCACCCCATCTGGTAGCGATGGAGGCGGGTGGTTAGGAGAACCGGTAGCAAAAATCCCTGGCCCCCCCCCAATGCCCAGCTGAGCCGCGCGATCATCAGAGGCATTTGAAAGCATTTTTTTACAACCCCTTCGGCAAAGAGGTTGTAGAAAAAATGGTTTTAAAAGTAAAAAAAAATAATTGGCCACGCCCACCCAGTCACATTACCACCAAGCCACACCCACAGAACCAGTAGTAACAAATTTTAGATTTCACCACTGTCTTGACCTGTAGACTACACACCCTAGGACTGTAGGCTTGGCACACAATTTTGTCTATTCCAAAGCAAACTTCATAGAGCAGGGCTTACTTCCCAAAATCTCCACATCTAGAAATCTGTATTTTAAGACAGAGAAACTCCAACATGTTAACAATGAGAAGCTCTGAAGTGAAAACAAAGCGGCTTGTTTCCAAATAAATATATCTTAAGGTCCTGGTGGATTCATTTTTGAAACATTTGGATCAGATACAGTACAGCTCATTTGGGAATATTCTGGAAACAAACATAACCATTCAACTTCTCAAACTCCAACTTTGGCAAAGTAGAATGCAGGTAAAGGCAAGCGAAGGAGAGGGGAAAGCAAAAGGACGTGTCATTTTAAAAGAGCCTTGGTGGTGCAGCAGACTAAAGTGCTATTAAGTAGCACCAGCTGCCTGCAATTACTACGAGTTCAAATCTCACCAGGCTCAAGGTTGACTCAGTCTTCCATCCTTTTGAAGTAGGTAAAATGAGGACCCGGATTGTGGGGGCAATAAGCTGACTTTGTATAAAAAAGAACACCGCTTAGGAGGGGCCCGAAAGCCCTACTAAGCAGGTATATACAAAAGTATGAAGGCTATTGCTTAATGCATTGTAAACTGCTCTGAGTCTCCGGAGAAGGGCGGCATATAAATCAAATAAATCAAATAAATAAATAAATAAATAAATAAAAAGTCAAGAGAATTCAAACCTACAGAAGCTCATAGTAAATTAAACCTCCTTCCCGAATCATCCACTTTTGCGGGAAGAAGACACATTTACACAACAGAGGGTATTCTTTTAAGCGTCGAGAGATTCACAAAAGGCTGAGAAACAACATTTTAATAGATGAAATAAATACTCCAGTACATGCAAGATTAAAAAAAAAAAAAAACACTGAAAAAAATAATAATTAAAAATCAAAACCACTCATTTGTTATAGTGTAATTTACCCCAATCCCTATTTGAACATACTCACAGTAGCTCCCCCATTGGAAAATGACACCCAGCTTTCCCTGCCAAATGCACTTCTAACCCATCACTCCATTCAAAAGTAGCCATACAAAACAAAACAAAAATCCGTAGCTACACCCATTCTTAAAAGTTTTTTCTTTCTTCCAGAGTGTATGAAAACTGAGGTAACTTTTTTTTATTCTCTCTCTCTCTTTCTCTCTCCCCTTTTTCTTCTTCCTGCTCAACTAAACACCTAGGAGATTTTGGTAGAACCACCCCTCCTCCCACAAAACCCCATCTCCTAACATTTTAAAAATCGCATCCAGCACGATTAAAGCTTGGACCCCCGTCAGTAAACCATTCCTAGGATTACTGTAACCCCTGATTGACCACAGGCTTCAACAAAAGAAGGAAGCAATGAAGCAGAATCATCTTGGATGCAAAGCCTTAGGAATCATTCCAAAGTGACTAGCCTGGGCAAGGTCCTAGGAGCCTGCTGGCAGCCAGCAATAGAAGAACAGGGAATTTAAATCATTTTGCACAAGGCCTACCGAAGAGGGGGAGCCTTGTCCTCCAAGAACTGACCTTGATTTTGGGCCAAGCAAGAAGGAAGCGCAGACTGCAGGTTTCCTTTGCTCCCTTTTGCCTGAATGGAATTCTACCTACCTGCCTGTTTTACACCACTGCAAGCTGCTTACAGTTCCATGCTTAAATATAAGGCTGCTCGGATGATTTAAAGATTTGGGGGCGAGGGGTGGGGGAATATGTGCGTCCTGTTCCCGTCCCCAGGTAAAAACACCCATGCCGATTGTGACATGTAAGCTAAAAAAGCATGGTTTCACAGCCTCCTCACACTGTTATTTTAGCAATCAAGAAGAAGAATGAAAGGACTGCGCTACGCAAACTCTTTGGTATACGAAAAGAAAATCTGGGGCAGGAAAGGGATGTCATATCTTTATGTTAAGAGGCGGCCATGCAATCTAAAAATGAATCGATTAATTCACAGAATTTGCATTTGCTGGCGGTAAAGTCCGGGGTGACGAGCGTTCCCTTAGGGCCTGAGATAACAGGTTGCAGCCATCGGAGACCGCGCACGCCGAGTTCCTCAACCTTTCCCTGTATTCAGTCATCTTGGTGCTACTGTCGTTGTGTTGGGCTATATCCCTGAGGCATTGAGTAAGGAGCACGCAAGCCGAGACGACACTCATCGCACCGCCCAAAATGGCCGTCTGCACAGCTTTCCCCTCTGGGTTGATGGTGGCCGCTCTGCCCAAAAACTGAGGCTCTGTGGCAAAGCCCACCAACGCACACACAGACTGCACCAAAGGTCCACTAAACAAGACGCACCGGTTGCGTGTCAGCTCGCTGGGGGACGTCTTGACCTCCCGGACGCAGGCCAGGAGAGCCGAAGCGCTGGTGCTCATACATTTGACGCTAAGCTTAAACTGCTCCTTGGCAAACCTATCCTTGGACTTCTCGCTGGCCAGGACGCAGGCGTCGGTCAGGAACTTCAAGTTCTTGGACATGTTCTGAGAGACCTCCAAAAGGAGCTGAGGGCTTAGGTCAAACAGAGGGGTGGTCTTCAAGATCCCACAGCCGTGTTCCACCTCGTGCTTACATCTGGTCACCTTGTAGCGATCCACCAAGCCGGGTAAAGCCGGCTGAGCCCCTGGCGTCTCCACCGCCGCCAGGTAAGCAGCGTGGGCCGAGCACTCTGTCAAAGAGACTACCAAGTCCCCCATCTCCCCCAGGATGTCCCCCACCTCGGTGAAACGGCCCATGTTGAGTTGGCTCTGGACGTCGTGGGTCAGAATGGAGAGGCCTTTGGTCCTGGCGATGATGGTGTCCCTGCACTTTTCAAAGGATTCTCCAAACACGGACAAGCTTTCCGTATGGACAGGCCGGCTCTCGCTGGTTAGGAGGAGCAGATCCGCTACCAGCTGCATCTTGATTTTGCAGAGGTCACAGGTGGCCACAAGCTTCTTCCTTGGCAAAGAGCTGCCGCCGGGGGTGGATGTCTCAGTAGTGGACTTGCCAGAGCCGCCGCTAGCCATGGTGCCGGAGGGGCACACGCATGCCTCTGGGGACCCCACTGCTGCCACCACTCCGCTTCCAGCTGCCTCCCGAGGAGTCCCCGCTGAGCCCGGCAGGATCGCTCTGCCCTTTCCGCACCATCATTCCATTAATCTGCACAAATAAACCAGAGTCTCGGAGCACCGGGAGGGGGAAAAAGAAAAGGGGCTGGCAGGACCCACCACCAAGTGGTGGGGAATCAAGCAGGGCAGAAGCCACCAGGGGGGTCCCTTCCACCTTTCCGAGGCGGCTGCCAACTCCAGACACCGGTCACAACATCCAGCCTGGGGATGAAAAACGCTGCGGTGGCCGCCACTGGCTCATGGGACCCTCAAAGCCTGGGGTCTTTAAGGGCATCTTCGCGGCTCCGGCTGACTTTTCTTCCCCAGGGAGAATCCAGCAGCCGCCGCCGCCGCCGCGACCCAGACCTGCCAATACAAAGAGCAACGTTAAAACTTCCCGGCTGGCTGGCTTCATTCAGCCGGATCTCCCCCAGCGACCCCCCTCCCATAGACTTCACGCCTTTTTTTTTTCCCCCAAGGGAAGCTGAGTTGGTGGCTCCGCGGGCAGTCAAAAGCGCAAAGGCGGCGCGCCGCCCGTTCGCTCTGCCGCCCCCGGGGCGCGGAAGGCGGGAGGGCACCGGTCTTCCTCTCCCCGCTATCAGGAAGAGCAGGCGAGGGTGTGGCCCGGCTCAGCTTGAGCAGCGGCGGCGGCGGGCGGAGAGCGAGGGAAGGGAAGGGAAGGGAGGGCCGGCTGGGCTCGCCAAGAAGCGTTTTTACGCGCTCACCTCCGGAGCAAAGGAGGACACGGGCGTCCGGGGGAAGACGCGGCGCAGCAAGCGAGGGAGGCAGCGGCTCTGGCTCGGCGGCCACCTTCCTTCCTTCCTTCCTTCCTTCGCCGAGCCGGAATCCTCCGGGCCGTTTTTCTCCTTTTTTTGCCCCGATCACGCCACCCACTTGGCTCCCTCGTTTCCGGGAAGACGCATCTCCAAGGCGTTGGCGCATCCGTTTGGCGGGCGGAGAACTTCGGGGGGCTCCGGTCAGGTGGAGGGTTGCCCGGGGAGACCCTGGAGACGGGATCCACGCCGGCTTCGCTCCCTTCCTCCGGCCATGGCTTAGCTTGCCTTCTCTCCCCCCACCCCACCCCCCCCTTTGGGAGGACGCCCCGACTTCCAAGAAGGGTAGAGAGACTCCCGAGGCCGGAAAGCAAGGCTTCCTATCAGCGGGGTTGGGGAGGGAGGGGAGGGGAAGGGGGGTCTCCGGACTTCCCAACTTTCTTTTAAAAAGTGGGGGAGGGATGCCTGCTAAGCGGAGCCCGCCTCTGCGGTGGCTCCCACCGCCCGGCGGGGATGGCTTGGCTGCTGCAGGGCTGGGAAGGGCGGGCGGCCGTGCGCCCTAGCCGACGCGCCTGCTTGCTTGCCTGCCTGCCTGCCTGCCTCCCTCCTTCCTTCCCCGCCGCCCTTTTCCCTCCCGTTGCCTCCGCTGCAACCTCGCCTTAAGCCTATAGCAATCTTTTGTGCGGCTTGTCGCCGCCCTTCCTTTTAAATGCCCACGCCCGCTGCTTACGGAAAACTCCTCCCCGGTGGAAGAAAGGAGAGGAAAAGGCGGGGCGGCGGTAGTAGCAGCAGCGGCGGCGCCGCCGGTTCGCCAAGCTTCGCGTTGGTTGCTTGCTTGCTTGCGCTCTCCGGGTTGGGTTCGGGTCTGCGCAAAAAAAGCTTCGGCTTTGGGTTTTTCTCTTTGGGCGGCTGCTACCGCCCTTGACACACATTCCTCTTCGGGCGCCTGTCCAGCCTGCTCTAAATTGTGCATTCATTCAGGGCGAAGTCCTTCCCTTTTTTAAAAAAAAAAAAGAAAGAAAGAAAAGTTATGACTGCATTAACCTGAACGGAAGGTTAATCCAACCCCCACCCTCCGCAGTTATCTTTAAAACGGGAGTTCTCTCTTAAGAGGACTTTAAAAGTAGGATAATGCACGTGGCTGGGAGTTTCCCCCCCTCTCTCCCTCCCTCCCTCCCTCCCAGGAGAAGGAAGGGGGGCACTGTTATTAACGTCTGCTGCTTGCAATTACTGCAAGTTCAAATCTCACCAGGCTCAAGGTTGACTCAGCCTTCCATCCTTTCAAAGGTAGGTAAAATGAGGACCCAGATTGTGGGGGCAATAAGCTGACTTGGTATAAATATACAAAAGTATGAAGGCTATTGCTTAACACATTGTAAGCCGCCCTGAGTCTCCGGAGAAGGATGGCATATAAATTAAAGCAATAATAATAATAATAATAATAATAATAATAATAATAATAATAATAATATCATCATCATCGAGGCCATCCATTATTATTAGTAATAATACTCCCCATCTCTATTAGCTGTGCAAACCTTGGCCATCTACTGAGAGGCTTGGCCACATTTGATGATGCCTGTCTCTTGATGCCCACGGAGTTTTCCCCGAAGCCAGCTGTTTTGTTTTGATTTTGTTTTCCTTTTTTTTTTGCCCCTTTCCCTTCTTCAAGCTAGAAAAATAAGGGGAGGGGGATCAAAAGGAGGAAGAAATAATAACAATGCAAACTAATGAGGTCAGCCCATTGGTCTTGCAAGCTGATTGGGTCGCGGTTTGGGTCCTGCTGGCCAATTAGAAAACAGCACCATTTAAATATAATTTTTTAAAAAAAGGGAGAGAGAAAGAGAGAGAGAGACCTGCGCTGTCTTTCATTATTGGACGCGTTCCCGATGTTTAAAAGAAAAGGGGGGAGGAAAAGTGTGCATAAGACCGTTAAAACAATAGGTCATAAAATGAGAAACCAAAACAAGCACCGTTTTAACACCTCGTGACCACATCAAGGTCCCTGAGAGGTCGAAGGCTGGTTTTCATCCTGCAGCTGGTTTCGGAAAAGCATTTCTGAGAACCGATTGGCCGGATTCAAGCAACACCTAAGATAAAATGTGTGTGGCTGTGTAGTTTGTTTTTGGTTCACAATGTATGGAGCAAATTCTGCCTGCAATATAAGGCTTTGCTTGTGGATTTTGCATGCAAAAACCCAGGAAGTTGTGTTAAGCCAGTAAACTGCTGGGAAACACAAGCCACCGTTGTGACAATCTTGCTCTCTCGTCCTTCCTCATAATCTAGATTGGCACAGTCTCGGCAAGCCACGGTGGGCATTGCTTTTGATTTAGCTTGTGCCAACCTGCTATTTATGTTTGCTGGGTGTTTGCTTCAAGCGCTAGCAAGTGGTGTAAATGTAACATTGTATAGTTTGAAGGGACCACTTAAGCCGTTGAATTCAACCGTTCATCTTCATGAATCAAAATCAAAGCACCCCTAACAGATGATCGAACTTGTCTGGTTGGAAAGAAGTCCATCGCTTTTTGGGTTCCTACATTTGTACAAGCCAGGAATGATCTTTGTTTCTTAAATAAACTAATCTGTTTTTTCCCCCGAACGCCATCACTCTACTAAACAAATAATCCCCTCAACACTGTCAAACTATTTACTAAGTCTGCACTACTATTAATCTCATTGTTCCTACCACCCATCTCCTTCCACTTATGACTGTATGATTAAGTTTGTTGCTTGTATCCTTACAATTTATATTGTTTCCTGATTGCTTATTTGTACCCTATGACTATCATTAAATGTTGTACCGTATGATTCTTGATGAATGTATCTTTTCTTTTGTGTACACTGAAAGTATATGCACCACAGACAAATTCCTTGTGTGTCCAATCACACTAAAAAATTCTATTCTATTCTATTCTATTCTATTCTATTCTATTCTATTCTATTCTATTCTATTCTATTCTATTCTATTCTATTCCATTCCATATGTTCTATTCTATTCTATTCTATTCTATTCTATTCTATTCTATTCTATTCTATTCTATTCTATTCTATTCTATTCCATTCCATTCCATTCCATTCCATATGTTCTATTCTATTCTATTCTATTCTATTCTATTCTATTCTATTCTATTCTATTCTATTCCATTCCATTCCATTCCATTCCATTCCATTCCATTCCATTCCATTCCATTCCATTCCATATGTTCTATTCTATTCTATTCTATTCTATTCTATTCTATTCTATTCTATTCTATTCTATTCTATTCTATTCTATTCCATTCCATTCCATTCCATTCCATTCCATTCCATATGTTCTATTCTATTCTATTCTATTCTATTCTATTCTATTCTATTCTATTCTATTCTATTCTATTCTATTCTATTCCATTCCATTCCATTCCATTCCATTCCATTCCATATTTTCTATTCTGTTCTGTTCTGTTCTGTTTGTGAATTGGTACCCTGGGTACTTTATGTGGTACCCTGAGCCACATAATTTGCAAACCAAGGTGGTTAGGTTCACCCACATACAAAATGAACCACATTATGGTTTATGGTTACCTATATCCACCCACCCCAGATTATAGAAAGCTCATGGTTTTTTTTTCTCTTAAAAATCTGATCAGAATTGTACACCAAACCAAAATGATTAGGTTTTGCCTACAAACCCGGAGAGATTCTCTGACTTTGAGGGCTTCAGAAACCTACCCAAATGTTTGTAGATACAGGTAGGTCTCAGTGCTGATAACGAACCCCATGAAATTCATGTTATTTGAATTTGCACTATTCAGAGTGAGATTTCTAGGGAAAATAGGGGAGCTGGTTGTACAGCCTGACAAAAACGGTCCACAAAAAAGTTTAAACGTAGTTTTTATAAATGTAATAATATAATGGTAAAATATTAAAAGAACATACCTACATCTTAAATTCATTTTTAATAAAGCTACAGAGCAGATTAGTTTCTAGAGTAGTTCTAGAAAGAAAAGAAATAAAGACAAAATCTAAATACCGGTCTTCTAGATAAGACAGATCTCATAAATACTTAACTAATACAAATGGAAGATACATTCATATACAAACTTTATCCTGTATTCTGCAGTACTTCTTCAAAATGAGCCTTTACTTTTCTTTCTTTTTTTTTTTGAGCTTTCCCTGAATGATGGACCCTACCTTTTCTTCATTTTGCACACTTTTAAAAAAAAATTATCACCATATTTATCATCGTATTGTATCACATGCTGATTAGTGTCCAAAACCCCAATGCATTAGCCTCACGCTGGATTTTGGCTTGCATTAAAATTGCATCCTGATAGCAATGTTTGATTCAGACTAAATATCTCATGAATCAAACTCGCACTAGTTATGACCTACCTGTGTACATTCTCCAGGGCTAAAGGGATCTTCCTGCAGAAGAGAAGTCAAGATATCAATTCTGCAAATGAATGAAAGGTTGGTCAGAAACTTCCCGTTTGTACATGTGAATACAGTGATCAAAAGAGCTTTAAGGTTAGTAAAAGTGACAACTGCTTTATGAGTTTGCCGAAGGTAATTGTTACATTTCTGAGGCTTCTGTGAAAATATTTCCATACATTTCAGGAAATATAGGCCGGGTGCTACTGCCACAGCTGGGCAAACTACGGCTTTGGGTTATACACAATGCAAGTCAGGAAGGGTGGGAGCCGACTTAATTTCTGCGCGAATGTTGTGAACTCCTTTGATGTGAACGAAAACAGGCCCGAAAGGGAGTCTCTAATTCCTGTTCCCCCTTTAAAAAACAAAACCAAACCACACAACCACACTTAACTCTGATAGCTAACCCAGGGCTAAACACCCTTTAAAAAGTATCCTAAGACCAGCAAAGTCATCTAAAAACATGGCCTGGTATTTATCATTAAAAGGTTATGAAAATAAATATATATTTTATATACATATTTAAAATATTTAAAATAAATATTTTATTTCTCTATAAAAAAATATAACTTATTTATGCATTTTGCCAACCAACAAATTGCAGCTCCATCAATCTTAACCAGGTTCTGTTATACAGGTAAGTCAGTCCTTGACTTATGACCACATAACTGAGCCCAAAACTTCCAACGCGAAGTGAGAAATTTGTTAAGTAAGTTTCGCCCCATTTTATGACCTTTCTTGCCACCGTTGTTAAGTGAATCACTGTGGTTGTTAAGTTAGGAACGCTGTTATTAAGTGGATCCGGCTTCCCCATAGACTTTGCTGGTCAGAAGGTCGCAAAAAGGGATCATGTGACCCTGGGACACTGCAACTATCATAAATACAGGCCAGCTGCCAAGTGTCCGAAGGTTGATCAAATGCCCATGGGGATGCTGCAGCAGTTGCCACTGTGAACAACGGCAATAAGTCACTTTTTTTCAGTGCTATTATAACTTTGAACAGTCATTAAACCAACTGTTGTAAATGCAGAAATACCTGTAGGTGATAGTGATTCTCTAGGGCAGAGCTCTGCAACCTTAAACACTCGAAGAGCCATTTGGACCCGTTTCCCACAGAAAAGAAAACACCGGGAGCCACAAAACCCTTCCTGTGCCTGACTATTTCTTGAGCGGCCACAAAACAAGCATATGTAGTTGAATTAAACGTTCTGTTTTCTTCTGAAACTTTTCTTTCCTTGGACTTATCCATGGTTGGCCTACCGGGGGTTGAAAAGCTCAATAAATCGTGTGCCGGCGGGTGTCGCACATTGGCGGTTGTGATGCATATTTTGAGTGACAGGGAGCCGCAGCAGAGGGGTGAAAGAGCCACATGCAGCTCCAGAGCCGCAGGTTGCTGACTCCCGCTCTAGGGTTTTCCATCCAGAAAAGGATACAATATATTACATTATGTATTATATTAGGGGGCGTGCATAAGCACACCAGCATGCCTACAGTCCCTGTCCTACTGTTCCCAATTATATGTAATCATTCTATGTGCTATGGCTGTGTTTTGCCTATTTATATCC